GTAGGGGGACTGGGTGGAAGAGGAGGAGGCGGAGGAGGCGGAGGAGGAGGAGGTGGAGGTGGAGTTAGAGGTGTAGGAGGCGTAAATGCTGGTGTCGCTGGCAATGCACCACAAATCGACGACTTTAATGGACTTTTCGGTCTCGGCAACGATGTTACTCTACATGGCGCAAGTGGAGTTGGAGCTGGTGGTAGAGCAAGTGGTGGCGGCGGAGGAAGTGGTACTGATATGGGTTACTCTGCCTTCGGTGCTGGCTATGATATCGACACGGGCGGTTTTGGTGGTCAACAACAGGTGAGTAGTGAGTGGCCCTAGATTTCATTATAGCGTGCAAGTTTGCACTGTACTGCGATTTTGGCCGAAGTGGCAAGCAGGGAAATGGGCAATAACAAATGTTTCCGTTAAAGAGGAATTGCGAAGTAAACTTTCCGCCCACGCACTCAAGCCTGCGTGCACTGCACTGGAAGTAATTAAGAGTTTTTGTTGGGCTTTTTAAGTGTTGCTATGCCTTAGTGGCGGGCAAGTGCTGAGGCGCAAAAGTTGGCTGTAGAAAGTCTCATGAAAACTTAGGAACAAAGGCAAACGGAATTGAAAGAAATAACTAATTAAAGCAGAGAACGTGTTGAAAGGTAAACTTTGCACTGGTTGGGAAACTGAGGAGGTGTAAAATTAGGCAACAAAACAGTGTTTGAAAAGTTTATATTGCCAAATTGGATTTCGAGTTGAAACTTTTTAATAACACACTTTGCGACTTTAATAAAAAAGTAAATACATTTCTGGTTTTATGCGGTTATGGATTTTTCATAGCTACAAACCCAATATTTTTGGTTACTAAACTTCTTTAAAAGACAGACAGAAAATCGTTTGTATGACACGGTTTACAAGTACATTTTGGATGTATGTACCCTGCAAACCATTTTTTCAAAGCATTCTGAATTGTAGAAAAATTTATGAATTCGTAAAGATCTCAACCGAATTTTTGCCGATTTTCTAAAATGATATAAACTGTACACACTTCGATTCTTTTACGAAATTCCGGAAAAAAATCGGTAAAGCAATGAAAATAATCCTGCTATGTGAAGAATTTCTTGCATAATTTTTTCAGAAGTTTCTTTATTTTTCGTACAGAAATTTATTTACAAGTTCGTGGCAACCATTTCATATAGTTTTCTTTGAAAATTCGTAAAAGAGTCGTTACAGAGATGCGATACTCCTAAAGATTTCGTTAAAATTTCGGAAGCTTTGGCACTCGGTCGAATTCACCATTCTATCAACTTTGACCGAGTTGACTTATCGAAAAAATTGCTTTCGATTCCCTATAAAAATACACCTCGAAAACTCTGTTTAACTTCGGTAGATTCCCCATAATAATACCCGATTGTTTCTTTAACCATTTTTTCAGGGTAATTACATTTTATAGGTCCGCAAAAACCCCCAGAAAATTCAATGGGGGACCAATAAAAAATCTTTAGTACTAAAAAATGGTTAAATAAAAAATTGGACATTAATATTGGAAGTCTCTTGAGCAGAACCAAAGTTTTCCGATCGAAAAATATTGATTTTCAAAAATTATAAAATACATGGAAACTCCCTAAATATTTTTTTATTTCAAAATAAAAAATAAGGATGTATTTTTTCGGTATAGAACAGCCATAGGGAGTAAGAGCATTAAAATTGCGACTTTACTTTTTCACATGTATTTTTGGATGTATGTATGTATGTATGTATGTATGTATCAACAATTTAAATTTTCAACGCTAATAAAAAAAGGTTTAAATGTAATGATAAAAAATAACAATTTAATTATAATTAATTTACGCATAAAAAATATGGAGATAGTTGATAATAACTACATAAGGTTTGCGCACGATGAAATTAGTGCACGAAATAATTCAAATAGCTTTTGAATTAGTTGATTTATTAAAAATAAAGAAGCAGTATTTTAACATACATTCAATTCATGTTTATATTTATTAAACACATTTTACAGATTAATGGGTTTTTATAAACAATTTAATTTTTTCTAATATACCTCCCATTAGTCGTCTAACTGTGTCTTCAGTACCTTTTTTGCTTAATGATAACCATTTTTTGGAAAAATGTTTGGTGGTATCAGCAACTTGTTTTGTGCCCTTCATAACCCTTTTTACCAGAGCCCAATATCTTTCGATGGGTCTGAGCTCCGGGCAGTTAGGTGGATTTGCGTATCTGGGTACAAATAATATGTTGTTCGTCTCATACCACTCAACTGCCGATTTGCTGTAATGGCACGAAGCCAAGTCAGGCCAAACAAAAGTAGAGACCTCATGCCGTCTTATGAATGGCAAAAGCCGTTTTTGCAAACACTCTTGGATATATAATTCAGTATTAATCGTTCCAGTTGTAACAAAAGAGCTACTTCTTTTACCACAGCTACAAATTGCTTGCCAAACCAAACATTTTTTAGGAAATTTTGTCTTTTTTTGCGTTTTGAACTCCTCTTGGACATTTCCTCTACCATCTGCAACATAAAAATCCACACCTGGTAGCTGAGAAAAGTCCCCAAGTACATATGTTTCATCATCCATGATGCAGCAGTCAAAATTCTTAAAGAACTCAAGGTGAAGTCGTTTGGCTCGATCTTTTGCCGTGCTGTTCTTTTTTGAATTTCTGTCAGGAACTTTCTGAACTTTGTATGACTTAAGCCCTTCCTCCTTTTTAACTTTTCTGACAAAAGCCTCGGAGCATTGTAGTTTTTCAGCAACTTTTCTACCCGATATGTTAGGATTTTTCCTAAAAAGCGCTATTATCTTCTTGGCGACAACAGGGTTTTTAAAACCCTTTTTTGCCACTTCCTTGCTTCCTATTTACAGTCAGACGTTCGTTGTAAGTTTTAACAACAAGCGATACGGTATTCCGGGAAACCTTTGCTTTTCTAGCGATTGCTTTGAAAGTCCAATTTGGATTTTCGTTATAAAAACTAATAATTTTTTCGCGTACTTCCTTTTCATTGCCCATCTTGAACACAAAACGTATCGAATTATTTTGAAATTGGACAAGACCATTTGTATATATTTAGCAAAGCCATCTTGTGGTAAAAAAAATTTAATTTCAAAGTTAAACGATTTTACTAGCCGTAATGTGTGCACTAATTTCATCGTGCGCAAACCTTATGTACATAAATATATAAAATACATACATATGTATACAATTTACGCACCTTTTGAGAAACATTCAAATCATATGTGCTGGCAAGATGAATAGGAAACGAACCTGGAATACGATCAAAAAATAGCTCCAAGTTGGCTAAGATAACTTCCATTCCAAAGGGCAGTTCAGAGATATAAAAAAAAACCACCAAGTGCCTGCAGTTTGAGAATTAATGATAACACTGGTTTACAGCAAAAATGCTCTATGGATGCCACTATCAGATTGCTATCTAGAATCGCTCGCTGATATCGAAAATCAAGTTATTGTTTTTTGCTTTGGATAAGTTTTCGAGATATTCATAATTTACCGTTATTCTGCTAAAAAAAAAGTGGTTCCACTCCGGGGTATACATTACTTTTCGATAGCGCCAGTAGTTTCTGAGAAAATAATTAATCATTCCAGATTTTTTTATCAAAAATAAATTCAAAAAATAACAATTTCTGTGTAATATTTTTTATTTGTGTTTAAGCCTGGTCTCTTACAAGCCTACTAATGAATAAAATCGATGCATAAATAAAAAAGTAATGAGTGGTCAAATGAAAATGTGCAAAGATTTTTTGTATGAATAATTGGCAGAAAAGAATGTACAAGGCGTATGAACAACACTCTTTCCTGATCATTTTTCATACAAAATTTCTTTGCGAATTTACATTTGACCCCTGATTCCTTTTTATTCATCCATCGATTTTTTAAAAAAACATAAAATAAAAAAAAATCTATACAGAATCTGTTTTTTAACCGACTTCAAAATTGAAATAATCTCGAAAACTTATCGGTAGAAAAAAAAGCTAACTCGATTTTAGGAATCAGCGGGCGATTCTAAATAGAAATTGGATAGGGTTATCCGTAGAACAAAAGAAAAGCACAAATTTGTGATTCAGTGTAACTATGCCTTATTGCTTTCAAGCTCCTAACTGTTTAGAACTAAATACATACGTATGTATGTATTCTAAAGACGAAAAATGTATCACTGGTCCTGGGTATAAGACCATAATATGGCTGGCAATTATTTATGTGCATTCATATGATAAATATTAACGGCTTCCACGCTGCCACATCCGGCACATCAAGCACAACAACCAGCAGCTGAGCAATGAAATTACACATCGCTCATACGTCTAGTAGTACGTAGGCTAAATCAGCTCGCTTTGTTTTAATACAGAATGAGATTTTTATCACTTTTTATACCCGAGCGCACTTGTGCACAAGGGTATTATAACTTTGTTCACATAACGGTTGTTTGTAACAGGCAAAACGAATCGAGATAGATATAGACAAATGTATACATAAATGATCAGAATGAAAAGAGAAATCGATTAAGCGGTGACTGTCTGTCCGTCCGTCCGTCCGTCCGTCTGTGCACACGATAACTCGAGTAAAAATTGAGATATCTTAACGAAACTTGGTACGTGAACTTCTTTTGGGCGTGGGACGGATGGTATTGAAAATGGGCGAAATCGGATAATAACCACGCCTACCTCCCATATAACGGTAATTTTAAGAAATACGAAAACTGCGATATTTTAGTAACTACTGAAGATAATCCACTCAAAATTGATACTTGCAATGAGTTTCAGACGGAAAACATGAATATTAAAAATTTTTGGAAAATGGGCGTAGCTACGCCCACTTATGATTACATGTGTATATCTTGGTAACCGCTACACCAATTTCTTCCAAACTTGGCACGGTTGTTGGCCCTGGTACAGCATACCAACTGGCCGAAAATTTCTAAAATCGGACAGTAACCACGCCCACATCCCATATAACGGTAATTTCGAGAAATACAAAATCTTCGATAAATCAGTAAATATTGTAGCTAATTTATTCAAAATTGATGATTGCAACAATTCTTTACCAAGAAATACGTTTATGACAAAATTTTGGAAAATGGGCGTAGCACCGCCCACTTGTGATCACATATATGTATCTCGCTAACCGTTCCAGCAATTTGCACCAAGCTCGGTATGGTTATTGTGCTTGCCACATAAAAGCAAACCGTTGAAAATTGTTGAAATCGGACTAAAATTGAGGCCGCATTTCATATAACGGTAAATTTCAGATATGCTTGAAATTTCAATATTTCGAAATTTAAGGACGCTAATTTACTTAAAATCTATACACCCCGGCTTATCATGTAGCGGTAGCTTTCGGAAAGGTGGAAAACATATATTTAATACTTGCGCCGGGTATTTAATGTTCGGCTCCGCCCGAACTTAGACTTTCTTACTTGTTAAACTTTGCTGCCGAACACGAATTCAATTAATAGTAAATAATGTGCGCATTAGGGTGGTCTAAAAACACTAAAGTCGGTATTATAATGCAAGGATTGTTCTATACCGAACAAAAAATATACCCCATATTTTTTTATTTTGAAATCTAAAAATATTTAGAGGTCGCGCAAAGCGCTCAAAGTTTTCCATGTAATTTTATACGGGAAAAAAGCAACTTTTCGTAGAAATGGTATAGAATTCTTGAAAATAAATATTTTTCGATCGAAAAACTCTTGTTCTCCTCAGAAGACTTTCAATAATAGTACCCAATTGTTTATTTAACCATTTTTTAATAGTAACGATTTTTTATTGGTCCCCCCATTGCATTTTTCGGGGTTTTTGTGGATTTATGGCGGACCTATAAATTATAGTTGCGATGAAAAAATTATTAAATAAACAAGTGGGTATTATTATTGGGAATCTTCTGCAGATAAGCAGAGTTTTCCGATAGAAAAATATTGATTTTTAAGAATTGTATACGATTTCTACGAAAAGTTGTTTTTTCCCCATATAAAATGCATGTAAAACTTTGGGCGCTTTGAGCGACCTCTATATATTTTTTGTATATATGTACATATACATCCTTTATTACGTTCATAAATTATATAAAGAAGCATACTCTTACCACTTCCAGGATATATTTTTTATTTTAGTATGCACACACACATACATACCTACACAATTATAGCTACGCTCTTTTTTTTATAACATTTCCGCTTTTAACCGACAGACGGAAATATATGGCATCGTCGAGCCACTAATAGAGGATACGCCATGTGTGGATCGGGCTTGTCAGGCCAATGATGATTGCTGTCCCACAGGTGTCTGCGTAAATACCTACGGCGGTAAGTGTCAATATACATACATACATACATATTTTCGCATGTATAAAATGATAAATTGTACATTTGTGCAGGCGTAGGTGTATGCGTGTGCTTGTGTGCGTTTTTACTTTAATAGCAATCGTTCAAGCTGACGTTGTGTTAATTTATCGCCGCTCTGGCGAAAGGTCACCCACCACGCACACGTCTACTTTCGAATATAAATAAAATTTCAAAATTAATTTTTCCTGTAAACATTTTTATATTTTTTCCCCGGTATTTTTCCTCCTTTTCGCTGCGCCAAAACAGAGGGTAAATGCATTTATGTTTATGGACGGAAACGCGATCTGTGCCACCGCAATACAGACTGTGAGCTGGGAATGTCTTGCCTGAAGACAGCAGCTGGTAATCTGATGTGTCAACCGAGTGCAACTGCGGTTCATCTATTGAATGGTGTAGGTGTTGGTGGTGGTGGTGGTGGTGATGGTGTTGCTACTGCTGCTGCTGCTGGCGTAGGTGGTGTTGGTAATAACGCAGTTTCACTTAATGTTGGCACAAATATTGCAACTGTTCCCAAGATGGCATTGAATGTAAAGCAATTTGGCGAGGATTGTGTGTCGTCGAGCGATTGTAATGTGGCCAAGTAAGTGTAGCATATAAACGCATACATATATATGTATCTAGAGGTTAGATGGTGCGTTGCCTTGTGGATACGATAGACCATTTATAGTAGGAGTTGTTTGCTGCTCGTCGGCTACTAGTTTCAGAAATAGTTGACGCACTGAGGTTAAAGTAGTAAAAATAGATTTATATTTGTAGAAACATAACAGCTATATGATCACGAGATGGTGAATATCTTCTATTGGTGCCCTTAGTACATTATTTATACACATCTGTTAAAAAAAGTATAAGAAATGCGACATTTTGACCAGTGCTAATTTTTTTCTTTTTCTTTTAATGTTTATATATAAGTTATATGTATTAAATTCCAAATTCCAAACTTTGTACAAAAATTTAAAAGAATCCAAAAATGTTCACCAAAATACCTACCTTTTTATATAAAATTTTTAGTTGAATTTTTAATATGCAAAATACAAAATATTTTCAGATCTTTTATGCGAGGAAACGCCTTACACTGTCAGCAAACAAAATGATTACAAATCAACGGCATTTTTAGCAACTTCCCACTTCCGCTTTATTTAATTAAAATTGAATGGCATATAAAACTGCAAACTAAATATTTTTCTAAAAATTCTGATTAAAAAATTTGGGATTTGGGTAAAAATTTATTTAATTTTTGTAATTTTCACAAAGTTCGAAATTGGGAGTAATAAAGTTTGTGTATACTGTTATAAAAAATGTATGAACAGTAAGCAAACAAAACGAAAATTTTGAAAACTGCTCAAAATATTGCATTTCTATTATTTTGACAAAGGTGTACATAGTTTGTGTTTACGTAAATATGTATAAAAAAAATTTAATGACAGATACTCTTCACCATAACCATTACCATTACCCCTACCATAACCATGAGCATAACCATAAACATTAGCTATAACTATAACCATCACAATAACCACAACCATAGCCATATCTATAGTCATATCCATAACCATCACAATAACTTTAGCCGTAACCATAACTTTAGCCATTACCATAACTATAACCTAAACCATAACCTAAACTATAACCTAAACCATAACCCCATCTATAGCCATAACCATAGCCATAATAACTATAACCATAAAAATTACCATTACCAAAATAAATCATTACTATACCATAGTTAAAAATGCGCTAATCCATTGTTAAATCTTATTTCAATAATGTTAATATTATTATATGCATTTTCTCCAATTTCTTTCAGGGGCTTATGTTGCCAACTGCAACGCACTCATCATCGCATACGTCCACGCAAATTATGCGCCTACTTCCGGGATCCTTTCATGTGCATCGACATTATGCCAACAGAAGATGAGGTGAGTACGACTGCAAACATACATACATACATACATATGCATAAATTTAGCGCATACATTTGTATTTGTGCGCGAGATATCGAGATTCTACTGTACCTGCTTATGAGTAAGAGCACGTACATAGTATGCAGTATGCACTCAATTGCCGATGTATATATGTACGTACATATATATGTACATAAATAGGTGCTTGCTTAGCTCGTGCATTGAATTAATTTTATACTTAAGGGCTGAAATGAGGGGCCAAACCACTTAAGCACATAAGCTGCAAAAAATCCGAGAAGGCAACAAACAACAGTACATACTTAACTGCTTAAGTATGTATAGTAATAGTAACAACAGTAACACATTGTACGGGGGTAAACTTATTTTTCCTAAAAACATAAATCTTTTGATAATTTACTTGCGTATGCAAATACAGTTTTTAATTTAATGCCACTTGGTTAAATTGAAAAAAAAAAATTATTGCATTTTGTAAATATTTGAATATTAGATCAAATGTAAGCTTCACTTCCTTGGATTTTATGCAATCATCCTTTGCCAATAGTGGTCACCCAGTTGGAAGTTAAATTCCCTTAATTTTGAAGCGAAGTTAACTCAACCCTAATGATGCTATCATTTCCGCTATTAAAATCATGCTTCAACGCACTTAAATTGATTGGCATGGCATGGCACTGAAGCTGCCCCCCCCCCCCCATGGATGTCAAATACAAAATTAGTTGTTGAAAGAAAATTAAAGAGTGAATGGGAAAAGGGAAGAAATTGAAAAGGAGTGAAACCATCTTCCTTGAATCCTGTTGAAAAACGCGAATAAAGTTCAAAAAAAAAAAAATATGTATATTAAAAATACGTTTTTATCACATTTTTTTTTTTTGTTTTCTTACAGGAAGTACGCGAATCACGCTTCCTATCCGCCTTCAGTCAGCGACGCATGTAATGAGGATAGTTAAAATAAAACCAAACACAAGCAACAGAAGCAAGAAAGTACGTACGTACACTCCCACAGATAACCAAGCTACACAAACACACCCACGCATAGATACAATCAAACACACATACTATAGTGGATGCGTGCTGCAAACAAACCGGACGTGCAGATCAAGCGGAAAGCAGGGCAAAACGGCAGCAATGCAGATAAATACTCGAACAATCATAGATAAATACGATTTTGTGCAAAAAGAAAACTGACGCACGCCGAACATTTTCAAATCAAACTTACATACATATCAAACAAAGTTAAACTTTAAACCTAAGAAAATTTGAACAAAACAAAAAACAAAACAATATTAAAGGCAATGGTTTTTGGTGGCCAAGAAAAGTCAAAGATAATAAAAATCAAACATATCATTTATTTAATAAAAGTATTGGCATTCTTGATCAAGCGCAGTTAACTATCTAATGTGGAAATAATGATTTAACGGTATTAGCACCCACACATACTCAACTCAATGAATTATGAATGGATGTATTAGAAAAAACTGTATTATTGTACTTATATGGAATAATTGTGTTAGAAAATCCTATATTTAGAAAGATTATTCATATACATAATTGTAAGAATGTATATGTAATTATATACAATCATTTATATGTTTAGTTGTATGCATAACAGCACATAAAATACCCGCTCTAAAAAAAATTAAACAATTAAATTCTGAGAGCCAAAATGTCAACAATGTAATCTAGTGAAAAATGTTGCAAAACAAGAATTAACAGTTAGAGTAGTTAAAATAAGAAAAATTAAAAACCTTCAAATAAATTGCAATAATTTGCTAAAAACAATTTAAAAAAAAATTTAAAAAATTGTACTGGCTGAGGCATTACTAATAAGTCAACATAATTTA